CTTCTTGATTGGTTACCTGGAAACTGTACCGCGGTGCGTGCCTACACGTTACACGATCACCACAGCATACCATCACGGATCTCAAATGTGCTCGATCATTTGGAGATTCGATGTAGGTCTATGGTTTGAAACGTGTCGGATCGGGACGGTATCCGCGGGAATCAACTGTGAATCCTAAAACCTACAACTCACTCACAACATACTTACATTTGGATGGCTTGATAGCCACGTTCCTGATGACAAATCATTCCAGTAGCTGCGTAAGACGGGCATCGTGTTCTTTCTTATAGGTGCCGAAAATGAGGACGTCATCTTGATATGCAAGCAACCACACACCGTCTAATCCTTTGATTACACTGTCTATTGCCGATTGAAAGAGGCCAGACGATGCATGCAATCCGAACGGCATGAAATTGTACTGGTACAGTCCCCACGGCGTGTTGATTGTTGTCAAGTAGCGAGATCCAACATTTAGTGGAATCTGTAGGTATGCGTCCGCCAAATCGATTTTGGGAAATTACTGGCACCCGTATAATAAATTCATGAAATCCTCTGGCTCCATGGTGGTCGCTGCACATCCCCGCAATTGGGGGTCCAACGTCAGTCGATGTTCTTCACAGATCCGTGGTGTCCTACCATCACTTTTCATCGCCAGGAAGATTGGGGTAACCCAGGCACTGGATTCAAATTTGCTTATCACACTCTCCTGTTCCATGTTCTGTAATGCTTTCAAGACACCTTCCCGCTGACCGTATGGGAGAACGCGACGTTTCAGGAAAACAGGTTCACCATCCACTTCCAACTTTACCGACGGTACCTTCATGCCACCAACGTTACCGGAACACTGTACAATCAAATGTTGAAGATATGAGGTGATTGGCATATCGTTGTTGGTATGTAGTGTGATGGATCCTTGTAGTAGGCGCATTGCTCAAAGGCCCAGAATAGACGGACTGTGGGCTGAGACCAGGAATCGGATTGGGATTGAGACGCCGGATTCAGATTGAACGCACAACGTTCTCTCGCCAAGTAATGGCAATTGATGGTCGGTAACCCCGTGAACACGCACTGAAGTCGGGGCTAGAACAGCATTAGGACAGATCGCATTGAGTGCTGATTTCGGTAGGATAGATTCGCTACTTGCTGTGTCCATGGTGAATCGATGCTCCACACCAAACTCGAACCTCAGTGGGGCAAACTTGAACTGGCCGTTGGGTTCAGTGATCTGCAGCGTGTAGATTGGGCTTGAGTTCTCATCTGTCGTTGGGATACGGGAATCGATGAGGTTGCACTTGGGCATTCGGAATACCTTGCGGATATGGCCCATCTTACCGCATGCATGGCAATTGGTATTACGGAATCGACAAGTCGAACGAAGATGGTATTCACCACATGAAAGCAACGGTTGGTCGCAGCCTTCGGTTGTGTTCGGCTTGAACTGGGTACTTGAGGAACCTCGGGTGAGTTATGAACACTGGGTTTTGTTGATTGCCGATGGAATAACGCAGGAGTATCCGCATTTGTGGCAGCACACAAATCGTCAC